AGGGTGACAGAGCACTGGAAGAGGTTGCCCAGAGAGGTAGTGGAGTCTCCTTCGCTGGAGATATTCAAAACCCATCTGGACAGTATCCTGTGCAACGTGCTCTAGAGGACCCTGCTGGAGCAGGGGGGTTGGACTAGATGATCTCCAGAGGTCCCTTCCAACCTCAGCTGTTCCATGATTGTGTGGTGCAGTGGCAGATTAGGACGTGATTTCTACCTTCCAACATTCTTTCAAATGTGCTTACTGATTATTCTTTCAGATGTTACAAGTTATCTGCAGAATCTTCTGTATTTTCCAGCACCTAAACTACAATATGGGGAAAAAATTAAGAGCCCTGAAATTTAACAACAGGTCTGAGAAGCCTACCCAGAGGGATTTTAATTCCAGTTGCTCTCTTTACAATACACATTGTTTTCACAAAGCCTGTTCCTCCCGTTTGAGACATTTAAATTTCTTTATAGTCTAAGCTACCAAATCAGATATAGAATATTCAAGAGGCCTATTGTTTAGAACTAACTATGAACAGGGCACAGAGAGAAAAGAACAGTAATGAGGGTTTGGGTTGACTGATGCATAGCTCTGAAGCCAGGCATGGAGTGATGGCAGTACAGAGGACAGTAATCCCTTTTCCTCATTTTAATCAAATCTGAGAGAAGAGTAGGGTAAGGGGTCTTTAATTATCCAAATGGGAATAGACATTTAAAAGGAAGCACTACTTCTAACAAAGAAATACAAACAGATGACTAAATAACGCACAGCAGTTAAGCAGCAAACCACGGAACTTTAACACCAAAATGATACACTACAAAAGCATCAGGAGTATATTTATTTCCTCCTTATTATTTCCTCCATATATTCACTTCTTTGAGCCGCCTGATATTTGCAACAGCAGGATGTAAAGATAAACAACTTGTGTCCTAAACTGGACCAGAACAGATTGGTACTGACACCAGTCATCTGACTGACAACTGAGGCCAGTCATCTAAATGAACAATGCTATAACTTGCATTTAGCTTGCTAATTTTACAAAACATTTATTACACTTTCATTTACACATTTTAAGCAAAATTCTCATTACAGTAAAAATTCCAGATTTTTTCAGTAGCCCAAGCAGTTCATGCCAGCTGTTCACAAGTTCTGCATTACAGCTCCTTGATCTGAACAGAATTATTCCTGATAGCTTCGTATTTTCAAGAGAAGAAATTGTAAAGCAGTAAGCTGAAGAAGAAAGCATACAGAAAGTCAAAATTCATCTACCCAGTAAGAAAATAAGGCACTTCAAAAAAGGGCAAAACAGTATTATGTGCAGAATCCTCACGAGCTGCAATCTTGATTGGCTGTTTAGTTTTCAAGTGTTCAAAAATATCCTTGACCTTGTGGGAAACAGGTACCAGGAGCACTGAAGAGGAAAACAATCTCAAGTGGGAATGTAGGGACCAAGGGGAAGACAAGCTGCAGGGGCTGATGGATTGGGCAGATTGCGATGGTAGAAAGAGCTGTGCCAGGCACTCAGGTGGGATGTTAATGCTGACTCAGTCATTTGCAGTCATGCATAAATCCTTCACGCTCATTAAATGTGTGGTTTAGTACCAAAAAAAAAAGAAATCTCAGTTTTGCTAAAAAAATTGATAAGAGAGATTTATTTAATAACATAAAGCATTATAGTTTCCATGTAATCATTTCAAAGACTGGTTCAAGTGAACTTCTACATTAGAAAATTTTTATTTTGCACAAAGGACCATTTCAATGCGCAGAAGAAACAACAGCTTTGAGTTCCAAGTTTAAAGAAATTACAATAGCGCTATTCACAACACAGATCAGTTCATTTAAAAAAAAAAAAAAAAAGGTTTGATCCTACAGTCATCACCAGAAGTTAAAACCAATCATTCTGTAGCATAGGTTTAAATCCAAATGGCTAGTTTCCTTCCAATATCTGAGCGCTGAAGAAAGGCACAGTTCCCCTCTCCTTATTCTTATCCTGTCTTCATTATACAGGGAAAGTTTCCACAGACTCAGGAAGTGCCTTTGAAATTGCTGCAGAGGTTTGGCACTAGGTGCAATGAGAGGAGGGAGGCAGGCAGGGAGGCAGGAGAGTGCAAATATGCAAATACATCCTGCAGCTCCTTTTCTGCTCTTTCACTCCCATAGATAGGCAAAGGAGTCTGCTGCATTTAACAAGAGCTCAACCTAACCACTCTCACACCACCATATATTTGCCTGGCTTGCCCAATCACAGCTTGCACACGAAATTGCAAGAACTGATGGAATTTAATTTTTTCCAGCACCTGCAAAAGAGTGCAATAGTAGCAAAGATGAGGCCAAGTTCATGTTTCCCTGACAGAAGTAGATGCATTTTCTTTTTTACTTTTGGTTGCAGGACATTTACTAAAACCGTTAACCTAACGTTGCATAGCCTCCTACAAGTATGCTAAATCTGGCAGAAAGAGGACAGAAAAAAACAAAGGTTTCATATGTCAGA